ACACCGGAAACAGACGAATGCAAGATCCTCAGCTCGGTGATTGGACGGTTTAGCCGCAATGCACGTTGGGAAATGGTGTTTATTATCTGAAAACAGGAAGAACTGCCGCCATAACTGAAAACGTGACGTGGATCATTACATTACATGTCACTTGTTAGACGCTTTTATCCAAAGCGACTTACTTACTCAATCCCCACAGGAGCAATTTGGGGTGAAGTGTCTTGCCTAGGGACACAACGACATGCTGACTGCAGTGGGGTTTGAACCTGTGCTCCCCTGATCCGAACACCAACGCACTATTCCACTGCGCCACACGCCTCCCCGATCATAATTATATCAGCAGTTAAACAACATCTTACATTTATTTTCACACAATACGTCTCCTTGCAGTATCAACACTAATTCGGCTGACTTTTATATTTGATCCAATTGGTAGATAGGCTCCAGCAATGTTAACTATGTTGAAGCACTTATTTTAACTGATATTATACATATGTATTACTCTTATAAGATGTATGTAGATAGTATAAGAAATGTGCAGAATATGACAGTTTAATGGTGGAGGTATACACACATATTGATAGATGTCTTGTAATGCACTGTTGAGGAACCTGTGACCCAAGTTTTTCATTCATTGCATAACTACACCGTAATTGTGTATAATATGATATGTCAATAAACCTTAGAAAATCTTGAAATCTTGAAAGGGATGTGCAAAATAGTCATTATATACAGTCTTTAATTAACTATTAGTAGAGAATAACGACGAGTAAAGAATATACTTTATAGGGATCCTATTAATATCTAATAATAAAATTATAAAATGCAATAACGTGCTTTAACCGGTAGGTGTCCCTTTCTATCAGCTGTGCACCGTTATGGCGTAAATACAGCCTATCTACCAATTGGATCAAATATGAAAGTCAGCCGAATTAGTGTTGATACTGCAAGGAGACGTATTGTGTGAAAAGAAATGTAAGATGTTGTTTAATTGCTTATATATTTAAGATCCACGTCAAGTTTTCAGTTTTGGCGGCAGTTCCTGTTTGTCTAGAAGTCTTGTCACCAGAGCTCTATAAATAGAGTTAACTACGGCAGATATGTAATATTTAATGCAGCCGAAACGTGTATTACAATGCCGTTATGTGATGACTTTAAAGAGAAAAGCAAGCACACTCGGAATAATGTATTATTTAATTTTTTTATACAGTCTATGGTTGCTACAGAGGATTGTGGGTAATGTCCGTTAAACTTCCGGGTTCCTCCATGGGACCTTATTTCGGAAAAAGTATGCATTGAAGTCAATGGAAAGAGAAAGATTATCTTTCGATCCCGTTTGAATTGTGCCACGAATTACATATATGATGTTTGTCAATCTTAAATAATAATTTCCATGTCAAAAAAGTCACAGTTTGTCGTAAAACTGTTGAAATATAAGACTATGAAATGTGTGTGTATGTACAGCTCTCAACATGCCCAGACTTGTAGTGATTTTCACCTCTTTTAATACTTTTAATACCACATTACGTCACACGTTTGATGCGCGCCCGTGATTGAAAATCTCTTTATTTAAAAACTACGGGGAATACGGATCTCGGGGTCTCCCTGCTCCCTGTGCGCAGATGCGACACGTCATATGACGTCACATGTTTGGCATGTCTCGATTGAATATGCTTTATTTAAAACAAAAACAAGGACAATAAACAAAGCAGTCTTCACAACGGCCGGACAAAATACTTTGAGCCGCCCTATAGCCAAAGCCCGAGACACTGTTCAAAGCATAATAAAGTCAATATATAGAGAGCATAATGGAAAATAACGTATCAATGCCACAATTTTAGATGCCGGGTAACAATGAAGATAACACCATTAAACAGTTACACAACATAACAGACATAATATCGATAGCAGCGTCCCTAGCAACCACCTCGGTAACAATGAAAACGTTGTATTTACACAATTGCCTGAAGTATTCTTCATAATAACTAGCAAACTAAAGATCATGTACATCCACTGCACACATAATCTGAAATAACAACTCATATTTCTCGCATCAAATGACATCAAAACGCATTTTAATGGCCAAACTAACCTTAAAATAGGCATTTTCTAATGAGAATAAAACGAAGGTCGGCCATGTTATTTTATTTCTGCGGAGAGAAAGTTGAAGATCACGTGACATAGACGCCAGCCATTGGAAATGAATGGTGAAAAAAAATGTAGGGATCCTACAATTTCAGAGGCGTTTTTGTAGAAATACTACGTCCCAAGTTGTGGACCAACGTAGTTATTACACGTTTAGATGTGAGACTGGGTTGGCCTATACTTACAGGCCCTTGGTATACATGATGCCTCCTGATTACAAAAAAATAAATAAGAAAAACATGATTTGGTCTTTAAAGACAGTTGAACTACCTTTATTTACATTATAATTATTATGTAGTCATGTTAACTGAAGGTTTCCACCAGATCTCTGAGCTGAAACCACAGAGAGTCTGACCCCAGCCTCAGAAACACTCTGCACAGGAAGAGGAAGTTCTCACTCACATTATATTTCTGTGTCTCACAGTGAGACGCTCAGACAGCAGGAAGACATCATGGAGGTCACAGCGCTCTGCAGCCGACAGTACTATTTACTTTTATATTTTTCAAAAATACTAAGCATTTTTTTGCTAATAAAACGTTGTCTTTATCTGCAAATCTAGTGATGTGTGTAATCATGCTGTTGGGTGCACATATTCAGAAAAGCTCTTTGCAAAACGATGGTGGCTAGAAACTACTAAAGATTCACATGCTCATGTTAATAGGAAATACCAGTGTGTCCGTACATTGTGTTAGACAAATACAGCGATTATCCATTTTGCTATATTCTTTATATATCAGATGTTTTATTGTGTCTATTTCAGTTTTTCAGACGCAGCTTTGCACATCGTCACTGAGAGACTGCAGCTCTTTGAATACGAGCCCTTCTCTTTTCTCTGCGAGGGTCTTGGCTCTGCTCTGAGAGGGTTTGGGAATAACAATCAGTTAATTGAGGGTTGTTATATTATTGATTCATGAACACTGAACTGCAGCATTAAATCAGCTTATGCACCGGACAGTGGGGTTTATCAGAATCAGAGTCAGGTTTATTAACAGGGTGTCATGGTCCATACATAAAAGTAAAAACTTTTTTTTTTAAAAGAACACAGATAGCTCCTGATGGAGAGAGGTTCTGGTCCTGATGGAGAGAGGTTCTGGTCCTGATGGAGAAAGGTTTTGGTCGTGATGGAGAGAGGTTCTGGTCCTGATGGAGAGATGTTCTGGTCCTGATGGAGAGAGGTTTTGGTCCTGATGGAGAGATGTTCTGGTCCTGATGGAGAGAGGTTTTGGTCCTGATGGAGAGATGTTCTGGTCCTGATGGAGAGAGGTTTTGGTCCTGATGGAGAGAGGTTTTGGTCCTGATGGAGAGATGTTCTGGTCCTGATGGAGAGAGGTTTTGGTCCTGATGGAGAGAGGTTTTGGTCCTGATGGTTTTGGTCCTGATGGAGAGAGGTTCTGGTCCTGATGGAGAGAGGTGTTGGTCCTGATGGAGAGAGGTGTTGGTCCTGATGGAGAGAGGTTCTGGTCCTGATGGAGAGAGGTTCTGGTCCTGATGGATGGAGAGAGGTTTTGGTCGTGATGGAGAGAGGTTCTGGTCCTGATGGAGAGATGTTCTGGTCCTGATGGAGAGAGGTTTTGGTCCTGATGGAGAGAGGTTCTGGTCCTGATGGAGAGAGGTGTTGGTCCTGATGGAGAAAGGTTCTGGTCCTGATGGATGGAGAGAGGTTTTATCCCTAATGGGGAGAGGTTCTGATGTAGAGAGGTTCTGGTCCTGATGGAGAGAGGTTCTGGTCCTGATGGATGGAGAGAAGTTTTGGCCCTAATGGAGAGAGGTTTCTGGTCCTGATGGAGCGAGGTTCTGGTCCTGATGGAGCGCAGCCTCCTGCCAGAGGAGAGGGGGGTGAACAGTTTGTGTCCAGGGTGGGAGGGGTCGGCCACTCTTGTGAGGATGAAAAAGGAGAGAAGAGCAGTGTACTGTAAACTTCAAATACCTTTCTGCACAAAATGAGGACAGTGAAGTGTACAAGTCATACACCCACAATGAAGCTGATGCTGGGGTATGACTTGTCCACTTCACAGACATCATTTTGTGCAGAAATGTATTTGAAGTGTACAGTGCACTTCAAATACATAACGGCAGGCTCTCAGGTATCTGAAATGTACAGGCTCATATCTCAACAATGCCTTGACACAGGGATCTGATACTTGGACTGTGCTATGTAGGCCACCCTATGATTTATTGGTGTGAAAATTGAGAGAATTGGACAATGTAAAATATTTAGCTTTTTTGAGGACCCTATAATGTTGGTACAGGGACACAGGCATATCTCGGTTATGCCTAGACAGAGGGAGCTGATACTTGGACTGTGCTATATAGGCCACCTTATAATGTATTGGTGTGAAAATGGAGACAATAATAATAATAATAACCATTCAAAACATGTTTTCCTTCAAATGTGGTGAACATATCTTTATTTTATATATTCTTATAAAAATACACTTCTTCTTCTGTCAAAAAATTATTATGGAAGGCGATAATATATATATATATTAACAGAATGAAAGGTTTTGAGTTTACTGGATTTGAAATGTATATACGATCATTACAGATCTTATGAATCGTGTATTGTTGTCATTGTATACTGTACAATTATACTACGCCACTCTATTTTCTGCTATGAAGATATAAACAATTTCAAATTGTATTTTACTTTGAAAAGTTCAGATGCTCATGTACAGCTTTGACATTTTCTTTGGGAAATTCCCACTTCCAAATATGTTTTTTGTCCTTTCAATTAATTCAACAATATATTAAATACAAATCTAGTATTTGTAAATTGATTTGTGAGTTTTTTTACCACTTCAGTTACCCTATAAAACCATATACATTGTCCTGTTTCTACAAAGCCTCTTAAAAGCCTCTCCTACATATACACATACATTTAAATAAAAATATGTTCTGTGGGTTGTGTCTGAGAAGCTGAAAGTATCTGTGGAGTCTAAAATAAAACTCAGAACAACAAACCCTCAGCTCGCCTTTTAAAATAAATGCATGTGTCAGTCAGTATCTCTGTGGTTTTTAACTTTGTCTTCAGTGTGAGAAAGTCTACCAGCTGCTGCACGTACCATCATGTGGCACAGAGAAGTTACACACCTCACACTCAACCTGAGCAGAAGAAGAGATACAACGCTGAAGAAAGTGATAATGTCCTCGGCTCGTGGTGTTCATTATCTTGATGACCAAACTAGCTCTGATCTTTTTGCCTGAGTTATTTCTGTGTGACCCTGAGTTTCCCACAATGCAGCAGTCCCACCAGCAGCAGCAGCAGAGCCACCATCACTACGGTGAACACAGTCCTTAAGACGAGGAGGACGTAAAGGGAGTGATCCGAGGAGGGAACAGCTGCAAACACAACACAACGTGAATATATATAATAAAAAACTCCACATATATTCTCCAAATGTTAACTACATGATCTCACCTCTGACAGTCATCCGGCTCTCTGGTGATTCTCCATCGTCAGAGATGCTGCATTTGTAGAGTCCTTCATCAGATTTAGAAACTCTTTGGATGGCGATGTTTCCTGTAGAGCTGCTTCTGATGAGGCGGCCATCTTCATAGAAATCAGCTGAGAGGATGGAGGAAGTGGTCGTCTTGTTTCTGCAGCTCAGAGTCACAGATTCTGCCTCCATCACAGGAAGCACAGGACTCTCCAGGATCACAGAGCCAGCTGAACAACAGTTTGAGTTTTGTAGTAGGAGTTATTTACAATATAAAAACTGTTAATTTAAACGAAGGCATTGTGAAGATACTGTGATGTAAAGTCAGGTTGTAACATGCCCAGAATAATTCAAAATATCAGAAATAAACTGAACACATTGATGAATAAATCAGAAATGAAACAGTTATGTAAAGTAGTGTATCGTCTGCATAGAGGTTCATAATATGAATTGAACGTTGAGTGTGTTATTTACATAATATTTTTAGAAAATTATTAAAATGACATCAGAGACAGGAGAAAACCACAATTTGGTTTAGATTTTAGAAACATATTTGTTTGCAATTGTTTGACTTAAATCCAATAGGCTTTGCTTAATGACCATGCTCAGCTTTGTGCACGCTGTTTGCTTTTATTGCACTTTCTTGATTCATTCTGTTGTTTATTTACAATATTAAGATAGAAAGAAATGTTTTGCTAAAAAAGTATATGTTTATTATATAGTTTATAGTATAACCTTAGCATCATTGCACTTGTTTTGTTCTTCTAACAAACATTGTATAGAATCAGGTTTATTGCTAAGTTGTTTTCCACATATACAGGGAACTTGTCTTGGTCTTTAATATTTCATACATACACACAGAAAGAGATTGTTGCTGAGTTAATGTCAACATACCGGTGATAATGACATTCACATAGTTGCTTTTCTTCCCTCCAGCCTCACACCAGTAATCTCCACTGTCCTCTTTATAAGGAGATGTAATGTTGCATTTATTCTCATTCAATGAGCCCCATTTTGAGCCATCACAAGTTTCCTTTCCTGCTTTGCTCCACCGTAAAATGTTCACATCAGTCAAACCATCGAAGCCCACACATCTTAAAGAGAATGGCTCGTATTCAAAGACTTGAAGTCTGGATGGTTCGATCCAAACATCTGCATCTGAAACTGAGAAATACATTTGTTGTTGATATTAATATATAGCACTAAATAAAGTTATGATTTTTTATTGTGTTGTTGCTTTCTTTTTGGTAAACAAGCTTCTTACCAACTTTCTGTTCACAGAGCTGCAGAAACACCATCATCCCTGCAGAGAGAAAAGAGACAAATATCACATAGATTTCTTATATTAGATTTTATTACCTTGACTTTATTGTTTAAATATATCTTTGATAGATAATACTTTTAAAACAACTCACCATTAAAACAAAATGCACAAAAGAGAATAGTGCAAATGGCCATGCAGCAGCAATAAGTAATATCATCTATATGTGCTCTTCTTTATTATACATATATTTAAATATTTAATAATAAACATAAAATAAATATAAGTTATTTTATAAGAGATCTCACCTAGAAGATCCTCTGCATTAAAATAACGTCTTGTCATGAATTAAAACATTTGAAACATCTTAAAATGTTAATCATTTGTATATATTTATATGGAGGTAGATTTGCCTCAATATCATGTGTTTGGACAGATCAACAAGCCGTGTGTAAATGTACAAAAACATCAAAAAATTCCCAAAAGGATTTGTAAAATAACAGAAATATTTACGGAAAATGTGTAAAGAATTTATAAAATGCACGTCAAGCAGCAATTACTTTTCAGACTGCATACTCTGAAAATGCTTGAAACCACGTAATCATCCCAAAATGGCAGTGACACACATAGCATTTTTTTTACATTTACACACGGGTTAGTGATCTGTTCACACAAATAATATTGACACAAATCTACCTCCATATGTTCCTTTAGCTAATATGATCTAGTATCATCTTTTATATGAAAAACATCAGATGAAGACTCAGTACTCACACAGTGTGATGCAGAGCGCTGTGGCCTCCATGGCGTCTGGCTGCTGACTGAGTGAACCTCACACTGAAATGTAAAAAGAAGAAGAGGGGTGGTCTCTTCCTGTGTGGCTCACTAATGAAACGCCTTGTAGCTCAGACGCGTGTCATGGAAGGAAATACGTGTCAGTGGTGGGGTTAATATTAGAGGCCAAGACTCACATGTGAGAAAGACAACTTTACGTCTTGATGTGTAGAACAGACACAAAGCATTATGACATGACGGAAAAATATACTTTAACACAACTGCTTACACAGAATTAAACATTGTTATGATGTTGTCTTTAAAGTATGGAGTACCACAAGGCAGTATTGCCTGGGGAAACATGAGGTTTAAAAGAGTACAAATTACCAAGAGATGGTCAAAACTGTCACAAGCAGAGCTGGAAGGCAAAGTGTAAGCCCTTTGATGTCACTCTACAAAGCCCTAAGAGCATCACTGACATGAGGAGAGCCATCGAGAACATCACAGAGGCAGAGGAGAAAGACTCAAGAGGGCTCTGGGTCAGGGAAAAGGTCTTTGGGGAGGAGCGAATATCATCTGAACAAGTCAAGTCGTGATGTGATCAACAACGTCTGAGTCAGCAGCATCAAAGAGATGTATTCAATCAAATGTACCCACAACTCAATGAGGAGTGATGAGGCTTCAGCTTCAAGAGATCTGAAGAGTCTCAGCCTTAGATTGACCCAATGCAGGAAGCTGATCAGCTGCATGTTGAGCTTCAACAAAGAAGGTGACTCTGAATGCTAAAGCTAAAATATACATAAGAGAAGAGTGTGCTTCTAACTTGGGTAGGCCTGTTTCAACATGACATTACCTTTGCTCTGAGCTGAAACCACAGAGAGTCTGACCCCAGCCTCAGAACACTCTGCACAGGAAGAGGAAGTTCTCACTCACATCATATTTCTGTGTCTCACAGTGAGACGCTCAGACAGCAGGAAGACATCATGGAGGTCACAGCGCTCTGCAGCCGACTGCGTGAGTCTCAGCTTTCTTTCAACTTGCATTTATTCTTTTATATTAACACATATGAGGCTGATTTACAGTTTTCTTTATTTGTATATCCAGTGATCATTCTGCTGGGTGCACATATTCAGAAGAGCTCTACGCAAAACAATGGTGTAGCAACTACTAAAGATTCACATGCTCATGTTGATAGGAAATACCAGTGTGTGGTACCAGGCCTATGATTCAGACAGTGGAGTTTACTGGTGCGAGGATGAGAAAGGAGAGAAGAGCAACTCTGTCAACATCAAGGTCACTGGTATGTTTATAGTAATTAAGACTTTTTTTAAACTGCAATGCTCTTTAATTCAGATATACTGCACCTATTTTTCAATGTTACATCAGTACTTGTAAAACATATTGATTCTGACCAAGTGTGTCATAAATATGCAGGAAGTGCAATGACCCTTAGCTTTTTAAATATGCAGACGATACACTACTCTATGTTACTATCTAATTTCTGATTTATTGATCATGTAGTTCTGTTTATTTCTGATATTTTCATTCAGTATGTGTATGATGATACCACATTTTACATTCACTGTATTTTCAGGATGACAATTCTTCCCTCTGTCTAAATCATCTCCTATTCTTTATTATAAATAACAGATAAGACTAAAGGTTTGATCCTGATGTTGTTCAGGTGGCTCTGTGATCCTGGAGAGTCCTGTGCTTCCTGTGATGGAGGGAGAATCTGTGACTCTGAGCTGCAGAAACAAGACGACCACTTCCTCCATCCTGTCAGCTGATTTCTATAAAGATGGCCGCCTCATCAGGAGCAGCCATACAGGAATCATCACCATCCAACATGTTGATACATCTGACAAAGGACTCTACAAGTGCAGTATCTCTGAAGGTGGACAATCACCAGAGAGCTGGCTGACTGTCAGAGGTGAGATATATAAATAAGATGTATGAGATTATCTAATTAAACGACAAAGACGTTTAGAGAGAGCTCAAAGAAGAGATAACTCAAATCTAGAGCCCAGAAACTGAGAAATCATGTGAATCACTTTAATGACAGAAGTTTCTTTGTTCGTATGTTTCTGAGTTAGGATTATCTAGTGAAGTGCAGTGATCTACTTCCTGCCAGGCGTGTGTGTTATGCAGAGGAATTTAGTGTCCCGCTTGAAGCCGTTTGGATCAGCAGTTCTGTAGAAAACTGTAAAAACCTGGTCTGCCCTGCTTGGACTTCAACCCACCTTTAAACCCAAGAAGCTACGGCACGACCACATCCTGCACAGGCTCTGAACTAGTGTCTTCAGATGTTATGAACATGCTTTAAAACCTTTGTTTCTCAGCTGGCTCTGTGATCCTGGAGAGTCCTCTCCTCCCTGTGAGAGACGGAGAATCTGTGACTCTGAGCTGCAGAAACCAGATCTCCATCCTGTCAGCTGATTACTACAAAGATGGCCGCCTCATCAGGAGCAGCTCCACAGAAACATGAACATCCGCAGAGTTTCTAAATCTGATGAAGGACTCTACAAGTGCAGCATCTCTGAAGGTGACTGTCAGATAATGCACTGTAGTTTACATTTGAAGAATATATGTGGAGTTTTTTATTATATATATTCACGTTGTGTTGTGTTTGCAGCTGTTCACAGAGAGACGTGTCCCTCCTCGGATCACTCCCTTCACGTCCTCCTCGTCTTAAGGACTGTGTTCACCGTAGTGATGGTGGTTCTGCTGCTGCTGGTGGGACTGCTGCATTGTGGGAAACTCAGGGTCACACAGAAATAACTCATGTAAAAAGTTTAGAGAGAGTTTGGTCATCAAGACAATGAACACCACAAGCTGAGGACATTATCACTTTGTTCTTAGTCTCTTCTTCTGCTCAGGTTGTGTGTGAGGTGTGTAACGTCTCTGTGTCACATGATGGTACGAGCAGCAGCTGCTAGACATTCTCACACTCAAGACAAAGTTAAAAACCACAGAGATACTGACTGACGCATGCATTTATTCTAAAAGGCGAGCTGAGGATATGTTGATCTGAGTTTTATTTTAGACTCCAGTTACTTTCAGCTTCTCAGACACAACCCACAGAACATATTTGTATTTAAATGTATGAGAATATGTAGAAGAGGCTTTCAAGAAGCTTTGTAGAAACAGCAAAACATTCACAGTTTCATGGCGTAACTTGAACGTATATATAACAGAATTCTTTGGGTTGAACATGATAATTCCTGCAAGCATGGTAGCATTGTCGCTGTTAGCATTTTAGCATGCCAAATGTAGCATTATAGCTCAAAGGACAGCTGTGCAGCCTCACTGAGCTGCTAACATAACTGTAGAAACTGTAGACATGTGTTAAAAAGCAACAACAGACTTATCTTTACTGTTTATTTAATAAAAATACCAGGGTTGCCAACTCTCACGCATCTGGCGTGTGACACACGCTTTCACTCTCAACCTCACGCTCTCACGCTGCCCAAACTATTCTCACGCCAAAAACAAGAATACCGAAGACTATAAACGGTTTTGAAAACTTTTGTCACGTAGTGATCGTCTTCTCAATAGAACATCTTTGATAATGTCTTCTGGCCAATCAGAATCACGATAACGGCGTGGTGTTGTTGCAGGAAGTCCCGACGGAGAATACTTTTGCGGTAGTACATCTCTATACATCGATACAACATTACGTGTTGATAGAAATCAACACGTAATGAAATAAGACCCCACGGTTTGATGATTGATAGGTGTGTGGGCTGTCTTTCATTTTGACACACAGAACAATGGGGGCTATCCACCCTTATCCACAATGTAAAGTTATTCACACAGCCTCTTCCCTCTTCTCTCTGTGAGGAGCAGCAGGTTCAGTTTTCAGAACAAAGTAACAAAAAACTAAAATGGCATTCATTTTTTTAAATATGTCGTGTAGTAATAGATGTATTTATTTTTCTTCTCAAGAGAGTACCAGAATGTGTATTTTATGTTAGTATTTTAAAAAATCTCCTGGGGGAGAATCCCCCCAGACCCCCCTGCAGGGGTTGGGTTTTCAGCATGTCAACTCTTTCACCTGTGGGGAAATTGCAGGATTGGCTCCAGGTCGCCCTTTTTATTTACTACAAGACAAATGTGCCTTTTTATTTCATACAGTTCAATTTGGATTGAGACAGGGAAATAATCTAAACCTCACGCGTGGCGTTTCACTATCGGGGGGAGCGTGTATGTAATTTTATTGCAAATACTGACTTGAGCACCACCACTATATGGGTTAGCCCTACCAGAGATTACCCAACAAAAATACTCTGGAGCCGCAACTGCCGACCCGTATTGCGCATGCGCAGATCTAAGATCCAGTAGAAATGATAAAAAAGTAAAAGTCTGCTGCTTATTGTTCTACTAGGCCAAAATAGAGTCAAAGAGTACAGTATATGAGAGTGAGAGTGTGTTAATTAATATATTTGGCAGTTTGGAGTAAGTCTGTAGATTTGTTTGTGTGTGTGTGTTTCATGTATAGGCCTCTCACGATAATTAATTTTGTTGGATACATTTTCCTGGAAATTATTGCGATAAACGATAATATTGTCGGCACCGTTGTATCATATGACCATTTTAGACCACTGACATAATGATAATATATAATAATAATTCAAGTACATCCTTTCAAACTGCTAGTCACATCCTCATGTAAATGGCAATTTATCGAGGTCAGAAAAGTTATCGAGTTCATTTTTATTTATCGTACGATAAGTCAATTAATTGCTTATCGCGACAGGCACACAATAAAACAGTGGAAACAAACATGTTTGACTTTCATTAGTGAATGAAACTGTGTGCCCTTTATAATCTGTGTCCATTATTGTGTATTTGTATATATTGTATATATATCCTATATATATGCTAAGGTCCCGCTGCTGACACGATAGCAGTCATTTCGTGCGTGTGTAATATGTGTAATTAAACCGAATTAAACCCATGATATCAAAATCTCACTCCAGCCAGGTACCCAAAGTTGGCAACCCTGAAATACTCAATTATATATATTTTTTGTAAATTGTAAGTAGCACCCCATGTGACATGTATTAAAAACATATATGGAAGTTGGTATTTCCCAAAGCGAATATTATCAAAGCTGCACATCAGCTTCTGAACCTATCAATACAAAACACAATTTCAAACATTTCCATATCTGAGATTTCTAAATTATAATTTTTTAACGAAAAGAGTAGATTTTCAGTAAAATATAAAAGCAGTGGCCATCAATCAAAGGAAGATCTGTTTACCACAAAACATGTTTTAAATTGTTGAATATCAGAATAATAAAAGTGTGTCTGTAAATGGTTGATCTCCTCGTCTTCACTGAGCGTCACAGCAACCTGTGTTTGGGCAGGAAGTCATGCTGTTCCTGTTTATGATGTTTATAATGGGAACTTTCTCTCATGACTCATCTCATCTCAATTTGAGGTACTTCCTGAAACTCCTGCTTTATGTGTTTTTGAAATTGAGAGTTAATTTGAAACTTCTAATAAAACTGGAGTAAGATCAACAGAGCAGAACAAAGGAGGTAGTTATTCTGTTTAAGTGGATGTCATACAGCGTTCATATTGCATCTTTCCAGTTTTGCTGAAGAGGGTGAACTTCAGTCTGTCTCCAGAGCTCCAGGGCTTCAGGTCGCTCCACACCAGCTCAGTGTTAGGACGATTGAGATCTTCACCTTGAGCCCACATCTGTAAAATACAAAATCACAGAATTACAAGCAGAATCATTGAATCATGAAATAATTAAAATAATAATGCATTTTTTATATTCTTATGTTTTAATATATAATTCAGTTCTGAATGAAAAACATTTGAAAAGGAAAAATGCAACATAAAGTGAGAAAACTAGAAAGACTCACAGTGACATCTCTTCCACCCTCAAGTTTGAAAGATTGATGAAATGTGTACTTGATGGGATCGTTGTCGTTAACCTGCAGATGTAACACCCAGCCTCCCAGCAGTTTGTACTGCAGGAGGTTAAATAAGGGGAGAGAGAGAGAGAGACATTGATGATGATATTTGAACCCACTGTGTTTGTAGATGACATGAAAACAAGAGAAACTGGATTCTAGGCATCTAGACATTTTTGTCATGATCTGTTTGTGTTGTGTTTTGTCTTGTCTTTTTCTGTCTTTGGTTTCCTGTCTTATTTTGAAAAGTGTTCACCCCCTGTCTTGCCTGTTGCTTTCTGTCTGTTTTCCCTCCTACCTGATTATTCTGATTGTGTTCCCCTGTTGCCCTTGTGTTTCTGCCTCCCTTACCCCAGCTGTGTCTTGTCTTGTGATTACCCCTCTCTGTATTTAGTCTTGTCTTCCCCTGTGTGCCTGGTCGGTTCATTGTTGGTGTTTCCTGTCTCCCTCCATGTTGGTCACGGTTAGTCTTTCAGTAAATGTTTTTTCCTTGTGCTTTCGTTCTGTTTCAAGTCATGTCATGTCATCAGCTTTTGTAATAAAGCTCGTTTTTGTTTATAGACCTGTTACCTCTTTTTGTAGTCTGCAGTTGGGTCCTACCTTTTCCACGCTACCAAACACATTTTGATGGTTTGAACAGCTCATTTGAGATATGGATAAGTTACAATATTCACACTCATAAAGCACTCATGCAGAGTTTATCCACACAAACAACATTACCTTAGTGGATTTGTTTCTGAGCCAGATATATTTGCACCGTCGGTCGACATCGATATTAAATCCTGAGTCTGAGGTCTGATTCTCCGAGCGGACGCTCTCCTGCTGCTCCTCATATCCAACAGCTTGCGCCTGAGGGTCAGACAATACACACAAATACTCAATCCCTGTGTGTGTGTGTGTGTGTGTGTGTGTGTGTGTGTGTGTGTGTGTGTGTGTGTGTGTGTGTGTGTGTGTGTGTGTGTGTGTGTGTGTGTGTGTGTGTGTGTGTGTGTGTGTCTCAGAAACACTTACCTTGCTCTCCACCTCTTCCTTTAGATCCTTCACTTCTCTCTCAGCTTCCTCTCTTCCTCTCTTCTCCTCCTGGAGCTTCTTCTCAAACTGAGATGTGAAGAGAGATAAAGACATTTGAACTTGATTTGAAGGAACATAACATCCTGGTCTGGATTCAAACTAGTTCCTGGTCTGCATCATATTTTCTCTCAAAGGAACAATAAATACTTTTCTTCCTCACAGTTGACCTCGAGTCCAGTTTCAGTCGTTCAATGTCTTGCATAGAAATAAAAAGATATTTGTGTGAAAAGATGAACCTCCTTGTTTTGGTCCATCAGCTCCTTCAGATGTCTCCTAGCTTCCTCTCCCCTCTTCTGCTCAGTGAGGAGTTGATTGTTTAACTGGAAGGAGGAGACATTATATTTATTTAACATAACACATAACCATATCACACAAAGTTTAAATCACAGGAGGAAATGTAATATATTACACCAACTAACATCAACACTGTGTGTGTGTGTGTGTGTGTGTGTGTGTGTGTGTGTGTGTGTGTGTGTGTGTGTGTGTGTGTGTGTGTGTGTGTGTGTGTGTGTGTGTGTGTGTGTGTGTGTGTGTGTCTGTCTTCACTCTGCTGTTCTCTGTTCTCTGGATCTCCAGTTGACTCCATGTCTCCTTCAGCTCTTCCTCAAACCTCAATAGGTTAGCTAGTTGTTGGTCTGCTTCCTGACAAACACACAGATGTTGATTTTAACAGTTTCATAAAGTAAAAATAATCATAATTCTAACAGAAGTGTTTTGACCATAAACGTCCCCGTAGGACATCAAAGATGAAATATTTCATATTCAGTTTAATTACAGAGCTTGTACTCATTTCTTTATTCCTTCACCTTAATCAACAGCTCATTTAAGTTATACTTTTATATACTTTATACTTTGAAGTCAGAAGAAAAGAATGATCACAGTCGATTAAATCGAGAGTGGCTTCAATTCAATTTTACAATCTTATAATTCTTTGACTCTTTGAGAGATGATGCTATGTGTGGTTATACGTTTTAATACATCTATGATATTTAAAGCAGTTATTATGAGATTTAAACTTGTAACGAACAGATACAGTAGGTGGAAGATGAACCTTTTTTCTCTCTGTCATCTCCTTCTTCATCTCCTCCTTCTTCTCCTCCTTCATCTCCTCCTTCAGCTCCTCCTCCCTCCTCTTCATCTCCTCCTTCATCTCCTCCTTCATCTCCTCCTCCCTCCTCTTCATCTCCTCCTTCAGCTCCTCCTCCCTCCTCTTCATCTCCTCCTCCCTCCTCTCCATCTCCTCCTTCATCTCCTCCTTCAGCTCCTCCTCCCTCCTCTTCATCTCCTCCTCCCTCCTCTCCATCTCCTCCTTCATCTCCTCTTCCCTCCTCCTCCTCTCCTCTCCTCCTCTCTGCAGATCAGTGTGTAGTCTCTCCACCTGAGAGGAGACACAGACAGAAGAAGAGAGACCTCCAGATGAACTCTTTATAGCTGGACTTCCAGATGATCAGAGTCAAAGGTGTGTCTGTGTTAGTGAGTCAGCAGAGTGAAGAGAGAGCAGTGGAACCAGGTTTAGATGCATGTTGTTACTTTATCTGAGAAAGGAGGTGAAAGGATTTGATCTAGGACACGAGGATTTGAGACTTTTACTGGTAAGTTTGCTTCAACAGGTGTGTGTGTGTGTGTGTGTGTGTGTGTGTGTGTGCGTGTGTGTGTGTGTGTGTGTGGTGTGTGTGTGTGTATGTGTGTGGGTTGTGGTGTGTGTGTGTGCATGCGTGACGTGCGTGAGTGTGTGGGTGTGTTTGTGTGTGCGTGGTGTGTCGGGATGTGGGTTGTGTTGGGGTGTTTTGTTGTGTGCGTGGGAGTTGTAGTGTGTGTGCTCGTGTGTGTGTGTCTGGGTGGGATGTGTGTGTGTGGGGTGTGTGTTGTGTTGTGTGGGTAGTGTGTTGTGTGTTGTTGTTTGTGTGGGTGTGTGGTGTGTAGTGTTGTGTGTGTGCCATGCCGTGCGTGCGTGCGTGAGTGTGTGTTGTGGTGTGGGTGTTGTGTGGTGTGTGTGTGTGTGGTGGTGTGAGTGATGAGTGTCGCTGTGGTAGTGTGTCGTATGTGTGGTGTGTGTGTGTGTGTGTAGTGGTGAGTGTGTGTGTGTGTGTGTCGTGTACGGCGTGTGTGTTGGTGTGTGTGTGCGTGCGTGTGTGGGGTGGTGTGTGTAGGGTGCTGTGCGTGCTGTGTGTGTGTGTGTGTGTGTGTGTGTGTGTGTGTGTGTGTGTGTGTGTGTGTGTGTGTGTGTGTGTGTGTTCACCTCCATCCCAAGCTGGTTGATCTCTCCCTCCTTGCTCTCCAGGTGAGTCCGTGTCTCCTTCAGTCTTCATCAGTTCTTCTTCCATTTACGTCAGCAGCTTGTTCTCTTTCCTCCAGCTAACACACACAACACAACACCCAACACACACACCACACACACACACACACACACACACACACAGATGTTGCTTCCAACTGTTTGTTTACAACAATCGAACATCAATGAACAACAACAACACTTTCAAATGCATTTACATTTCTCCTATTGGACCTTTCAACAGTTTGAAAAAGGGAATGGCTGAAATTATCATCAATGGAAGATGAACCTTTTTTCTCTCTGTCATCTCCATTCTTCATCTCCTCCTTTCTTCTCCTCCTTCATCTCCTCCTTCAGCTCCTCCTCCCTCCTCTTCATCTCCTCCTCCATCTCCTTCCTCCTCTCTCTTCATCTCCTCCTCCCTCCTCTTCATCTCCTCCTTCATCTCCTCCTCCCTCCTCTTCAGCTCCTCCTTCCTCTCCTCTTCCCTCCTCCTCTCCTCTCCTCCTCTCTGCAGATCAGCCTGTAGTCTCTCCACCTGAGAGGAGACACAGACAGAAGAAGAGAGACCTCCAGATGAACTCTTTATAGCTGGACTTCCAGATGATCAGAGTCAAAGGTGTGTCTGTGTTAGTGAGTCAGCAGAGTGAAGAAAGAGCAGTGGAACCAGGTTTAGATGCATGTTGTTACTTTATCTGAGAAAGGAGGTGAAAGGATTTGATCTAGGACACGAGTAGCTTCCCTGGATATCATACGCTGTCTTTGAATGACTTTGATTGGAGATATGAAACACAAACCTCTCTGGACTCATTCTGCAGCTTCTCCTTCAGGATGGAAACTTCTTCCTCAGCTTCCTCCCTCCTCTTCCTCCTCTTCTCCTCCTGAGACTTGTTTCCAGAAGATCTCCTCTGTTTAAACTAAAAGACGAGACAGGAGAGATGAAATATCACATTTGACCAAATGCCTCTCAATAAGTTCATATTCACACGTTTCCTCCCAGCTCTTCTGCAGCCAGAGATTATAAAGGAAGCTTTATGTAGGTCAGGAAACCAGAAGAGAGTATTGATCGTATTGATCTGAACCCACTTACCCGTGAAGAGGAGGAAGAACTGGCTTCAGCAGCTGGGCTTCTTTCCAGCTGGAGAAGTGGAGAGATGAAGACAGACGTGTTCATGTGTTCTTACATGTTATTATCTCAACAACTAAAACTCTCATTTCACATCATTAGTTCCACTGGAAGCTCTGTGGAGAAGTGTCTCTATGATTAGGTCCATGTTTGTTCTGTATCTATTCTTAAATTCACGAGGATGCACATGAGAGCAAAGACTGTAAACATGGAGGTAACCAAACCTGGATCTATGGTTATAAACTCGTAAAATCTGCTTTAAATGGTTTTTAATCAAGTGCACATATCTGTGAAACTTCAAGGATAGAAACAATGAGGATTTGAAACAACAACTGCAGCAACAGGATTTCTGATTGAACTCTCAAGTGACCCAGGATGCTCAACACATTTACAAGTTGAAGTGGCTCCTTTGAACTAGAGTCAGACTATAGATCTTCATATATACAGCAAGGTTCATGCAGGAAGTCTAACCTCCATGATGGTCTCCATCAGGGTCTGCAGGCTGGTCTCCATCCTCTGAACCTCCTCCTGCAGCTGCTGGACTTCAGCTTCCTTCACTTCACACTGAGAGGAGAGAGAGAGACA